ATTAAATACAATTCTTTATATTTTTTTTACGTTCTTTGGATATAGCCATAGATATTTATATTTCTAAATGCATTATATACATATCGCATCATATAATTACATACTGATTAATTGAAAATATCCAACTAAATAACCGATCGGTTCGGAGAAAAGGCATCCGTGAAAGAACGTTGCTTACGTTTATGGATAATTATACCTGCAATTATCATAAACCCTAGATAGACATGTGTCAGTAGTTGTGCAAACGTAAGCACTATGAATCATTTTGATATATTTCGCAATTCGCTAGAAAAAAGACTAGCTCTCTCTAACTCCGCTTCTAAAAATATGGACATTTTTACGGCAGAACGTCTTATCTTATTATTATCGATTCGTTAAATATGATACAAATTTTGAAGTACAATATAATCGACATAAATATGTGAAAAACGGGTTATCAGTAATTTCACAGATCTGCGTAAAAAAAGTATCAACGATATGAAAAAAATATGCATGGAAAAATATATATAATCTTTTAAAAAAATTTCTTCTGCCTAGAACATCTCTTCTTGCCTAATTATACTTTACAAAAATAATAATTGAAAGACAACTGTAATTTAATATAACAATAATTTAATATAAGTACGAAAATTCATAAAACAAACAAGTTAATTCTTATGCATTACTATATCGAAGTAGACTTGTTTGTTTATGAAATAATTTGAAGCAGAAATGATAAAGTAAAAATTTTTAGTAACGAATAAATAAATCAAGTCAAAAGCAAAGTTATTATTTATCCACAAAAGAAAATAAGATAAAATTTGATAGAGAAAAGTAGGAGAATCTTAATGGACCATGTCTCAATCAGACACCATCATTACACTAAAAAAAAAATCCACTGTACTCTGACATGAAAATTACACGTTTATGACTGAAAAATTTTTTTCTAGATTTTTTGAAATAAAAATACATTCTTCTTCTTCTTACGTTAGACCTCTGGCCTGTGTTACATCTCTCTCATATACTTATGGTGCGTATATTAATTATTCAATTAAAATACGCATTAATGATGAAATATACTGCGTAAGTTCGTGCCATTTTTTCGAGAAATGTTCATAGGAGAAAACGATTTTAGGGGAAAGAACAAACTTTCTGCGATACCTAATATATAATATTATTTTAATGCAAAAATAACTTGTAGTTTTACATTCAAACAGTATTTTTATAATATAAAAAAAATTTCATACGAAATTCAAGATTCATGCAGAATATGTTAACAAATTAAAAAAAATTTTTTAATTAGAGGAATTTTATTGGTTTATATTTTAGGATCTAACGGAAAATTAAAATAATGTTTCAAAGGGTGGTTTAATGGAATGATATTAAAAACATAAAATATTTAATATATTGCATTTAATTTTAGGTTCTCCAATTATAAAAAAAAAGTTAATCATCGCAAGTTTGCATCTAAAATATAAATTAAATTTTAAGTTTAATGGAAAAAAAATTATTTAAAATATTTATTAGGAATTTGTTTGAGTAAAAGTTTTTTAAACTGATAAACAACATTCACAATTTTTTTATTTTAATCACCAAAGAAAGTCTTAAAAGAAAAATTATACCGTTTTTTTTAAACAATAATTTCAATATTAATATGTAAAACGATTATATCAAAATAAGAAAATTCTTTATTAAATAGAACACCACTCTTCCGAATGTGCATCCGTCGAATAACTGTTGAAGACATCATTTTATTATCATTTTTTTAAAACAAGGATAAAAATTTCTTATTGAAAAATTTTAATACTGCAATTATTATTTCATTTATGATTTTTTAATTAGAGGAATTTTATTGGTCTATATTTTAGGAATTAACTGAATATGTCAATTAGATGAAAACGCTCACTGAGCGTTCAATGAGCAATTATCGTTCTGCATTGTAGTACGTCCAATTCCAAATAGCACAGAAAATTCTGAAACTATTCTTCTTATTCGTTCTATAAGTTTTTAGAAACAAAGAAAAAGGTATCGAACAGTCGTCATTAGCAAGGTCCGATACGTTCAATACCTTTGATCTATATTTTTAGATCTAATGAAATATATCAATCAGATGCAAGAGCTTACTGAGCGCTCAATGAACGGTCGTGCTTCTGAATGCATCCATTGTCTATTGATCGTCTTTGAACGGGGCTCAGAAAATTGGCTGCCAGACACAAAAGTGTATGAGTTTTTAAGATCATTAATTTCCCGACAAATTCATATTTGGAACATTTTTCTATGATTTTTTGACAAAGTTA